CCCCCGCTTTAAAACACCCAGAAAACCCCATACATACACAGGATTGACCTTCAGTATACATACATGTGCTTTCACATAATATATAACTCAGCTTATGTTTATTTCAGTAAATAGGTGCGAGGTAAACTTGGCTCCCGCAAATAGTCTACCGTCGGTGGCGCTTGCCAGTCACCGAGGATGTGGGAATACGTGGATGCGGCATTTAATTGAACAGACGACTGGTATTTATTCAGGAAGTCTCGGAAACTCCTCCTTTATGTTGGAAAACGGTGAGCGTTTGGATGTTGCGTCCATAGTGACACATGTGCTGATCGATAAAACAGTAAAAACATGTTTGGACACGAACTAAGTCGAACACGCATTGTATTGCGACAATTCTACGCTTTGTATGAATCTATTTCATTCTAAATGTTGGGTAAGAACCAATCAATCCGGTGAGAATTCACAAACCAACCATGTTATTAGTGAGGGTGTTATGTGATATGCACGAAACTCCTATTGGTCAGATTTCGTAATGATGCTTCTTTCCTGTAACTGTAATTAAGGGCGGCAGTCGTCGCGCTGCGCATGCGCGACATTTGTGTTGATAAACATTGATTTTCCCACAATCCAATGCACTCTTCTAATGGGAATCACATGTATGAGGTTTGACTTGCACTAATTACCGCTGGCGACTCCTTCGATATCTTCCAATCATCTAAAAAATACCTAATTCAAGTTTGGTAACGTTCCAGTTTGTACTCGTTGATCTGATCAGATAAAGTCGCTATCTTTGTTTATATGAGAACCATATATCTCGCGCATGCGTGGCGCGACGACTAACGCCCTTTAAATGTATCTTGTCCAGAGCACTGAGAATATTTAAACTTCCACAAACTGCTTGCAAGAGACCAATTCATTCACATCTTTCTCTGTAACGTATTAACTTGTATGGAATATTTGGAAATTCTGATGGGTACGCGATTAAAAAAAAATATTTCTAAATCTACATTCTATGTCAATTTCACAGGATTTCTCGGTGAATTGGAAAGCAGAACAAGTGGTCGAACAGTTGTTACAAAAACACATGGAATAAATTTCAAGAAGATTAATATGTTTGATAAAGTGATACTAATTTTTAGAAATCCTTATCGGTGCTTTTTAGCCGAGTTCAATCGTCAGCAGACAGGCAGCAAGACCGAAAGAGCATTGGCGACTTCGTTCAACTCGAAAGGTGAGATAATAGGCACACTCGACTGAGATTCTATCATCAAATTAATCTAACGTTTTGTGCCCAATTTAATACTGATATTGTGTATTTCTGTAATATTCGGCAATTAACATCTCAACCTTGACATTACAGTTATAATATGTTTTTTTTATGTCTTAGTTTAATTCCTGACATCCCTCCGTAAATGGCCGCGGTGGTATCGATAATTTGATGAGATAAATATATTGATAAACAACAAGATTCAAAATTAAACAGCCTATTATGCCAGCATCTAAAATAGGATTTGGAACAATGAAACACGAAATATCGAAAACCTGAATGAAAAGGTTTACCATGGCTACTTTTTTCGGCAAAACCATTTGCAATTGTTATGAAGGGAGTAGAAAACATTGTCCCCGTTCCAGCAAACCCAAGTACGAAGAATCATGTTGTAGATTTACTATAGTTTTAGTATTTACTTAAATTATTTATTTGTTTTACAGCATGGCAATCATTCATTCATCGGCAGTTTTCAAGATGGGAGGTCTTTGCAAAAAATTGGCTAACAAGCAATTTACCGAAGCTTGTGGTCCACTACGAAGATTTGGAAGATAATTTGATTCACGAATTACGCAGAATCTCGCGTTTTTTGAACGTTACTTCATTTGAGTCTAGATTGTCTTGTGTGATGAAAAACACAGAGGGACGATTTCATCGAACAACCGGTAATACAAATCATGTGCGAATTAATCCATACACACCAGAAATGCGAGACAGGATCGACGACTTAATATCCAAAACTGACAAATTGTTACAATCAAAAGGTTTTTCACCATTACACAAAAATGTAAATAAAACTATCTTCTTGTGACATATAACAATAAGAATCTATGACGTCATCTTACTGGGACATATACATATATCAAATTGAATGTGTGTCGTCATTGTATTGGAACAAGTACCACGAATCTTTCACCGCATCATTTTATTGGAATGTATATCAAAACGAACCTGTGACGTAATCTTATTCGAATATATACCATGAATCTGTGGCGTAATCTTATTGGAACACGGTTATTCTGAATCTAGCTAGCTGATAGCCTGAAGCAAGGTCTTATATCCGACACGAGAAGACCTAAATATTTGTTTTGCCAGCCAACAGTTCATAATGTTTTATGTTGTATTTTTGTAATGATGACAGGAGATAATATGAACTGATGCGATTGACTCTCAATATTGTGACTGGTCACGTGGTTCGACAACAATACTGTATTTAACCCAAAAGGAGAGTGACTATTTGATATACTTCCGGTCATCTAAGCGATGTGAAATTGGTGTAGCAGCAGTATTGTATACAATATCACGGAAAAAAATGTATAGCACGTCACGTGACTGTTTGTGCTATAAGAAATTTTATCAAAAACTGGCATTAAATGTTTTTAAATCTCCTTCTTCGGAACATTCTTTTTGTCGATTGGTTTCTTGGGTTTAAAAAAGTGCGCTATTGAGCTTACGTTGGTGGTGGACTCAGCGATGGTAATTTTTTTTAACTTTCTCAACATCTAGCTATAATGTACGTTGCATTTTAATAGTAATATGTAATTAAAAATCTCTAGAAATACTGCCAATATTGATAGAGTCCATATACGTTTGGGGGATAGTTTTTTCAATTGTTCTCAGTCAATTGTGTTCTTGGACGTGTAAATTTCTGTCTATGACTTTTCAACGAACTACTGCTATTTTTTTCCACTTCACATACGGGTCCTACTATTTAACGCCCGGACACGCGAGGGAGTGTCCGGGCACGCGCGGAGGCGAACAGGGGGGAATACCTAACGCGCGGGGCAGCGGCAGCAATCCTTGTACTGTATAATATTCGTTTATGCTCAAAATTTGAACCGGAGTGGCGAATTCGAGCAGCTATCCACACTTTTTATGATCGACGCCCGGGCATTCCGGCGAGTCGAGTCCGCCATGTTGTTTACTAATTTTGGTTAGCGTTTAACAATAGGACAATACCATTCGATCCATGGGGGTGACAGTCCTACGAATGTGCCGACATTGTCGAAGGACAGGGACAGGACAAGTTTGTGCAAGTGTGGCGAGACTCCCGTAGTATTGTTTAGTAAGCTACGATTCATTTAAAAATGACCATGTAAGACGTCTGTTACACAGAAATTATTCACTTCATGTAGTTTTCTCATTGTTATGTGTCCCCGTAAACACAGCATTGTATGCA